TCTGACTGGTTCTGTGTTTGTGTTTCAGGTAAAATGATCAGCGCGGCGTTCGTTCCGCTCTCGACTTATCACAACCTGTTTCCAGACTCGGTCTCCGCCTCCACGCTGCTGCCCCCGCCCATCCGCCGCTGACCCGGGCGCACGCCGCCCTCCGATTGGACAATAGACTCCGTACTTGGCTCTGGTTGGACAATTTAGACGGTAGTGCGCTCTGATTGGTTTAAGTTGATGACGGTCCAATGGTTGAGCTCCATGAGCTGTTTTTTCTAATCTTCATTTTGTACTAGTTCCAATTAAATTTTATTTTCAAACCTCGTCCAGCGTCTTTATTTAAACCACTTACCATCCGCCCGCCGGCGGGCGATTTTCCAATAAAAAATGTTCACTCTGTATTTTCCCCTTCATTATTGTTTTCACTACTGGCCATACATCGTTTGAAAGCTTCATTTGTCAATAAAACAACCATATCATTCATTTTATGTCGTACAACGAGCCCGAATTTATGTGAATTTAAAAATTCACATCATAAACAAAGAATGAGATACGCGTTTCTTACCTTTGAGCCGGTTCTGTCGGTCCAAAACGCGTTCAATCCTTGAAAAATTGTACTCAATAAATCCGTAATAATCCACAGAACAAGAATATCAAGTTGTTTTTTCCATAAAATAATTCCATGTGGGTAAATAATCCAGAAAAACCTCGTCTGTATGAATGGATGAATGCGTGAATGAAAACACATGTTGCCTTTCCGAGCCTTCTGCCTCTCTGAGTTCTGTTTCTCTTGGCGCTCTTGGGTGCGCTTGTTTTCCTCACACTCTTAGCTTCAAAATGAGACCCTCCCCGCTGTTGTCGGTGGCGGGGTTTAGGTGGGACAAGCCGCTGAAGAAGCTAACGCACTCACGTACTTCCTGGTTTTACGCACGCGTCATCAGTTTGTTTACGGGAAATCTCTTCAGTCATTGGATCTTCCAGAAAGTGATTGACATATTGTTTTAGCCAATCACCAGAGCTTTCAAACGGTGGGTGGGACATTCAGATAATCTTTGAAACAGACGCTGTGTTTACAAGAGCAACAGAGACACAGAGAAGCAGTGTGGGAGGGGCCAGTTGGCACATCTGACACTTGGAAGACAATTTTGGCTTCTTTTAGTTTTTTTTCTTGAGAAAACATGCCTAAAGCTCAGAAGAATTAGTATAATAATAATAATAATTATCGTCCTCACGTGGGCCCACCACCCGCAGGAGGATCCATATGGGGCCGGTGCAGAGAGATCTGGGCGGCAGTCGACGGCGGGGGCCTCGGCGACCGGATCTCCGGACATGGAGACTGTGGCTCTGGGGACATGGAATGTCACCTCGCTGGGGGGAAGGAGCCTGAGCTTGTGCGGGAGGTTGAGCGTTACCGACTAGATATAGTCGGCCTCACCTCCACGCACAGTTTGGGCTCTGGAACCCAACTCCTTGAGAGGGGCTGGACTCTCCATTTCTCTGGCGTTGGCCGCGGGGAGCGGCGGCGTCGTGTCATCTGATCTCCGGCCGCGTGTCTTGGACACTCGGGTGAAGAGAGGGCTGAGCTGTCAACTGATCACCACCTGGTCGTGAGTTGGGTTCGCTGGCGGAGGAGGAAGCCGGAAAGACCTGGCAGACCCAAGCGTGTAGTGAGGGTCTGTTGGGAACGTCTGGCGGAGCCTCTGTCAGAGGGACCTTCAACTCGCACCTCCGGGAGGACTTCTCCCGGATTCCGGGGGAGGCTGGAGATATGGAGTCCGAGTGGGCTTCATTCTCGGCCTCTATTGTCAATGCAGCTGCTCGGAGCTGTGGGCGTAAGGTCTGTGGTGCCTGTCCCGGCGACAACCCCAGAACCCGGTGGTGGACACCGGAAGTAAGGGATGCTGTCAAGCTGAAGAAGGAGTCCTATCGGGCCTTGCTGGCTCGGGGGACTCCTGAGGCAGCTGACGGGTACCGGCGGGCCAAGCGTGCTGCAGCCCGTGTGGTCGCGGAGGCAAAAACTCGGAGCTGGGAGGAGTTCGGGGAGGCCATGGAGGAGGACTATCGGACGGCCTCAAAGAGATTCTGGCAAACCGTCCGGCGCCTCAGGAGGGGAAAGCAGTTCTTCGCCAACACTGTTTACAGTGCGGGGGGAGGAAAACTTTGAGGATCTCCTCAATCCCACCGTCACGTCTTCCGAGGAGGAGGCCGAGGCTGGGGACTCGGAGGCGGACTCATCCATCACCCAGGCTGAAGTCACTGAGGTGGTTGGAAAGCTCCTTGGTGGCAAGGCTCCGGGGTTGGATGAGATCCGTCCTGAGTACCTTAAGTCTCTGGATGTTGTGGGGCTGTCTTGGCTGACACGCCTCTTCAACATCTCGTGGCGGTCGGGGACAGTACCTCTGGACTGGCAAACCGGGGTGGTGGTCCCTCTGTATAAGAAGGGGGACCGGAGGGTGTGTTCCAACTATAGGGGGATCACACTTCTCAGCCTTCCCGGTAAGGTCTATGCCAGGGACTGGAGAGGAGAATCCGGCCGATAGTCGAACCTCGGATTCAGGAGGAGCAGTGTGGTTTTGGTCCTGGTCGTGGAACACTGGACCAGCTCTACACTCTCCATCGGTGCTCGAGGTTCATGGGAGTTTGCCCAACCAGTCCACATGTGTTTTGTGGACTTGGAGAAGGCATTTGACCGTGTCCCTCGTGGTGTCCTGTGGGGGGTGCTCTGGGAGTATGGGGTCCGGGGCCCTTTGCTAAGGGCTGTCCGGTCCCTGTATGACCGGAGCAGGAGCTGTGTTCATTGCCGGCAGTAAGTCAGACCTGTTCCCGGTGCATGTTGGACTCCGCCAGGGCTGCACCTGTCACCGGTTCTGTTCATTGTGTTTATGGACAGAATTTCTAGGCGCAGTCAGGGGCCGGAGGGGGTCCGGTTTGGGGACCACAGGATTTCATCTCTGCTGTTTGTGGATGATGTTGTCCTGTTGGCTTCATCGAACCAGGACCTGCAGCACTGGGGCGGTTTGACCCGAGTGTGAAGCGGCTGGGATGAAGATCAGCTCTTCTAAGTCTGAGGCCATGGTTCTCGACCGGAAAAAGGCGTCTTGTCCCTCTCCAGGCGGGTGGAGAGTCTCTGCCTCAAGTGGAGGAGTTCAAGTATCTCGGGGTCTTGTTCTCGAGTGAGGGGAAGGACGGAACGTGAGATTGACAGGTGGACAGGTGCAGCTTCGGCAGTGATGCGGTCGCTGTATCGGTCGTTGTGGTGAAGAGGAGCTGAGTCGAAAGGCGAAGCTCTCGATTTACCGGTCAGTCTTCGTTCCTACTCTCACCTCTGGTCATGAGCTCTGGGTAGTGACCGAAAGGACGAGATCGCGGATACAAGCGCTCGAAATGAGTTTCCTCCGCAGGGTGTCTGGGCGTCTCCCTTAGAGACAGAGTGAGGAGCTCAGTCACACGGGAGGAGCTCGGAGTAGAGCCGCTGCTCCTCCACGTCGAGAGGAGCCAGTTGAGGCTCGGGCATCTGTTCTGATGTCTCCTGGACGTGTCCCTCAGGGAGGTGTTCATGTCCCACCAGGAGGAGGCCCCGGGGAAGACCCAGGACACACTGGAGGGACTATGTCTCTGGACTGGCCTGGGAACACCTCGGGGTTCCCCCGGAGGAGCAGGAGGACGTGTCTGGGGTGAAGGAAGTCTGGGAGTCCCTGCTTAGACTGCTCCCCCCGCGACCCGGCCCCAGATAAGCGGACGAAAATGGATGGATAATAATTATTATATTATTATTATTAATTTGGCAATCTTGTGTTGAATTGTCATTTTGTTTACACAAAGGCTCACAGCATCAAAACCCTTTGTCCTAAAGATCTGAAATTCTACACAGTTGTTGCCAACAACTTGAACAATGAGTGTAGTGAGTCACAAATGCCTAGCATGAAGTATGACCAAGCTAAGGCCTTTATTTTTTTCTATTTTTTTTTCGAAGCAAAAAAATACAATTTTAATTGACTGTACTGTAGGTTAGGCACCACTCACAGTCTTCATGTACATATCTACAGAAACTAGAAGGACTAAGCTTTAAAATGGTGCCTCACACAAGCATGTGGGTTCTAAGGTTTTCTTTTAATAAACTCTGGCATTTGCGTATGTGGTGCTATTGTGCACATGCCAAAATGAGGTGGATGGGAACAGGTTAAAAACACAAACGCGAAACGTTTTCACTTTTGGCTTTATTCGTTTAAATGACTGTAACATTTCGGTCTTTGGCAAAAAGTTTGAAGCAGCAAAAAGAAAAAAAAAAACAAAATTCAGCATTTGAGAGAAAACATGAACAGAGTACAACATCTGTGATGGCACCGAGTGAAGGACCCAGACTAGACCTGGACTGGACCTGGACTGGACCAGGTCTGGACCCTTGTAAACACAAAGTGGTTAAAGCTAAAGCTCTTGGTTATGTTGAAGGCAGCAGTGGTTCAGATTAAGGGCATCTGGTTTAATTGCACAGAGGTTAAAGTGTCGACAGAAAGTGCAGTTTAGAAGAAGCGAGCGCTAAAGGCTACGTGCTAAAGGCTACGTGCTAAAGGCTAACACAGACCACAAAGGGTTAAACACTTTGCTGCCCTCTGATTGGCTCCTACGCCTCAGCTGCTCTGTGATTGGTCAAAATGAACAGTTTGAGTCCCTTTTTAAAGTGGAATGATTCAGAATAATGTCCCAACGCTTTTGGGAGTTGTAGTTTTTGGTAAGTATTTTGTAGTCCATTTCCTGGTTGGTTGATGCAGAACTCGTTTCTGGACCCGTGTGGGAGTTTTGTAGTTTTGTAGTTCTTTTCTGATTGGCTGTTGGCAGCTGGTCCCTGTGGGGGCTTGTGGGAGTTGTAGTTCTTTTGTCGTCTAAAGGGGGCGTGGTCCCTGTGGCTGTGGGGGATTGTGGGAGTTGTAGTTTTACTTCTTCTCTGGAGGTTTGAGCGGGTCCAGGCGTCTCATCTTGAAGTAGGACACGACCTGAGACGGAACTTCAGCCAAAACCGACTGAGCCAACGCCGCCATGGGAGCCTGAAAAACACACAGCAAAAGGATTCAAAAGTACTGCACAGTACTACAAACAATATGTACTACAGAGTATTTGAACTACAGACTATATGTACTACAGAGTGTATATGTACTACAGAGTATGTGTACTACAGAGAGTATGTGTACTACAGAGAGTATATGTACTACAGAGTATGTGTACTACAGAGAGTACTGTGTACTACAGAGTACGTGTACTACAGAGTACGTGTACTACAGAGAGTACATGTACTACAGAGTATGTGTACTACAGAGAGTATGTGTACTACAGAGTACGTGTACTACAGAGTATGTATACTACAGAGTATGTGTACTACAGAGAGTATGTACTACAGAGTACGTGTACTACAGAGTAGTACAGAGTGTACTACAGAGTACTACAGAGTACGTGTACTACAGAGTATGTATACTACAGAGTACGTGTACTACAGAGAGTATATGTACTACAGATTACGTGTACTACAGAGTACGTGTACTACAGAGTATATGTACTACAGAGTATGTGTACTACAGAGTATATGTACTACAGAGTATATGTACTACAGAGTACATGACTCACGTCTTTGAAGTCTCTGAAGGGGACAAACTGGACGATGTCCCTCTGGACCTTCTCGCCGCTCGTGGACTTGAGGACGCCGTCGTCTCCGTCCAGGAGTTTCATGGCGCTGAAGTCGGCAGGTCCCACCCCCACGATGATGATTGACAGCGGGAGGGCGGAGCTTCGTACGATGGCGTCACGAGTCTGGTCCAAGTCTGTGATCTCCCCGTCCGTGAGGATGAGGAGCACGAAGTACTGCTGCACAGAGGAGTAAAAGTACTGTAGTACTGAAGTACTGCTGCACAGAGGAGTAAAAGTACTGTAGTACTGAAGTACTGCTGCACAGAGGAGTAAAAGTACTGTAGTACTGAAGTACTGCTGCACAGAGGAGTAAAAGTACTGTACTGCTGAAGTACTGCTGCTGCTTCACAGAGGAGTAAAAGTACTGTAGTACTGTAGTACTGTACTAGAAAGTACTGCTGCACAGAGGAGTAAAAGTACTGAAGTACTGAGTACTGCAAGTACTGAAGTACTGCTGCACAGAGGAGTAAAAGTACTGTAGTACTGAAGTACTGCTGCACAGAGGAGTAAAAGTACTGTAGAGTAGTACTGTAGTACTGAAGTACTGCTGCACAGAGGAGTAAAAAGTACTGTAGTACTGAAGTACTGAAGTACTGCTGCACAGAGGAGTAAAAGTACTGTAGTACTGAAGTACTGCTGCACAGAGGAGTAAAAGTACTGTAGTACTGCTGCACAGAGGAGTAAAGTACTGTAGTACTGAAGTACTGCTAAAGTACTTAGTACTGCTGCACAGAGGAGTAAAAGTACTGAAAGTACTGCTGCACAGAGGAGTAAAAGTACTGTAGTACTGAAGTACTGCTGCACAGAGGAGTAAAAGTACTGTAGTACTGAAGTACTGCTGCACAGAGGAATAAAAGTACTGTAGTACTGTAGTACTGCTGCACAGAGGAATAAAAGTACTGTAGTACTGAAGTACTAAAGTACTGTAGTACTGAAGTACTGTAGCATTAGTAGTACTTGTACTCACAGAAGCAGTGTTAGTAGTAGTAGTAGTAGTAGTAGTAGTAGTAGTAGTAGTAGTAGTAGCAGTAGCAGTAGCAGTAGTAGTAGTAGTAGTAGTAGTAGTAGTAGTAGTAGTAGTAGTAGTAGTAGTAGTAGTAGCAGTAGCAGTAGTAGTAGTAGTAGCAGTAGTAGCAGTAGTAGTAGTAGTAGTAGTAGTAGTAGCAGTAGTAGTAGTAGCAGCAGTAGTAGTAGTAGTAGTAGTAGTAGTAGTAGTAGTAGTAGTAGTAGTAGTAGTAGTAGCAGTAGTAGTAGTAGTAGTAGTAGTAGTAGTAGTAGTAGTAGTAGTAGTAGTAGTAGTAGTAGTAGAGCAGTAGTAGTAGTAGTAGTAGTAGTAGTAGTAGTAGTAGTAGTAGTAGTAGTAGTAGGTAGTAGTAGCAGTAGTAGCAGTAGTAGTAGTAGCATAGTAGTAGTAGTAGTAGTAGTAGTAGTAGTAGTAGTAGTAGTAGCAGCAGCAGCAGTAGTAGCAGTAGTAGTAGTAGTAGTAGTAGTAGTAGTAGTAGTAGTAGTAGTAGTAGTAGCAGTAGTAGTAGTAGTAGTAGTAGTAGTAGTAGTAGTAGCAGTAGTAGCAGTAGTAGTAGTAGTAGTAGTAGTAGTAGCAGCAGCAGCAGTAGTAGTAGTAGTAGTAGTAGTAGTAGTAGTAGTAGCAGTAGCAGTAGCAGTAGTAGTAGTAGTAGTAGTAGTACTCACAGAGGCGGTGTTGTGGGCGGCGGCGGTGGCGGCGATCGAGGCCACGTGGTTGATAATCGGGCTGAAGTTTGTTGGACCCGAAAGTCGGAGCTGAGGAAGAACTCGACGATACGACTCCACCACGCCCTCTATACCTGCAACAGAGTACTACAACTACAAGTATACAACAAGTACTACAACTACTACAAATACTACAAATACTACAGACACAGACACCACGCCCTATACCTGCAACAGAGTACTACAACTATACAAATACCTGCAACGCCCTCTAGCAACAGAGTACTACAACTACTACAAATACTACAAGAGTACACAACTACGCTACCTCTATACCTGCAACAGAGTACTACAACTACTACACTACTACAACTACTACTACTAAATACTACACACTACCGACACCTCTATACCTGCAACAGAGTACTACAACTACTACAACTACTACAAATACTACAATACTACAATATAACTACAACTATACTACACAGACACGCCCTTATACTGCAACAGAGTACTACAACTACTACAACTACTACAATACCTGCAACAGAGTACTACAACTACTACAAAATACTACAGACACCACGCCCTCTATACCTGCAACAGAGTACTACAACTACTACTACTACAACTACTACAAATACTACAGACACCACGCCCTCTATACCTGCAACAGAGTACTACAACTACTACAAATACTACAAATACTACAGACACCACGCCCTCTATACCTGCAACAGAGTACTACAACTACTACAAACTACTACAACTATACTACAGACACCACGCCCTCTATACCTGCAACAGAGTACTACAACTACCACAAATACTACTACAAATACTACAAATACTACAGACACCGCCCTCTATACCTGCAACAGAGTACTACAACTACTACAACTACTACAAATACTACAATACTAACAGACACCACGCCCTCTANCAAATGTCAAGAATGAATGAATCTCTGCTTCATTCAGTAGTAACAATATGTATTTGGAACCTTTTGGCCCATATGGATGAGTCCAGGCTGGTTCAGGGTGAGCCTGCAGTGCCAGTGTTGTGTTACATATGATTAGTACTGAATTAAAGGCACATTGTTAGATTAGATTTTTTCTATAAAGATGAAATCCATTTTGACTGAAGCAAATGCATTTAGCTCTACAGAATCAAGTTTTCACTTTGCTCAGTATTTGGTAAAACTAAATTAGCACAGACCTACTAAACTCTAGCTATTTAGTGGTACTTCTTGTCAAGAAATATTCCGGCCACCTCCTGTTAATTCACATTAAAACTAGTGCTGCCAGTTGATATAGAAAAATAAAGCAGATTGAACACTTTTTAAAATTGAGGTTAATTAATCACATGGCATTCTGATTTGAGACTAACTTTAAATATAATATACACATTCTTAAGACAATTATAGGCTTATAGATCAACTATTGCATACATTATTTACCAGCCGTAATGGCTCAAATGTAAAGTGAGTGGCTCTTGTTTTATTCAGATGCTACAGATGCTGCAAACTCTTGTTTTTCACATTTTAAAGACACAAGTTTTAAGAGTGTGTTTCCTAATGAATCTCTGTGGTCACTTTTAGTGAGTTCAAGGCCCTTCATTGCCGCTTGCAGGTGTATCTGGCTCTCTTGGAATAAGCTGCTAGGTTTGGCCTGGCCTCTGTGTGATGCAGAGGTGAGACTTTCTTTTATTATCCAGCAGGTGTTTGATATTGAGTCTTTGTTATTTGCTTCAGTCAGAGTGAATGGTTTTGCTCAGCTGTGACACTTGAGCATTTAACCCGGGCGGGCAGTGGGTTAAATGTGAGCAGATGGGTTAGAGGCAGCGCGTACCTGCAGCCTGCCTCACTGCTTAACTCTCCGCAGACTGGCACATTTCACTATCTGAGCCCCTCTCTTCACATCAGTTGTATCGGGCTACATCAGGGGAGGGGCCACACCACAGGGGCCCCACACCAGAGGGAGGTTAGTAACGAGAGGAAAGGGAGAGACAGAAAAAGAGCAGGAGAAGTTGAGGACAGCCAGTGAAAACAAAAAGAGAAAATGTCAAGCCAAAGAAAAAGTGGTGAGGACAGTTGCACAGAGCTGAGGTGGAGGTGCTGACCTGTGTGCAGCCGCTGTGGAGGAGCTAACATCTACACTCTTATATGCTCTTGATAGCTCCATATTCAACTCAGAGTCTACTGTGAGGGTAGAGCTGATGGAGATGGTAGTCCCAACAAGTGAGCCCAGGGAGGTGTAAAAAAAAAAAGCTTGTGTGGAGCCTGTGCTGTACCCAGGCTCAGGGAGCATCAGGCCAACAGACAAACAGAAGGAAGGGAAGGCCACGGGCTCATGACACTGTGGACTCCTGCAGAAGCCCATGTTTATTATGGTTAAGAATGTTCAACAAGTTGTTATTGTGGTAAGATGTGTGAAGAATCACTCAGTCGTCCAGGTAGAAGCCACATCGAGGAGAAAATTCAGTTTGTCGACTGGACAAAAGTTAGTTTAGTTGAAGACATTTCTCAGTTCATCCAAGCTGCTTCTTCAGTTCTGGTCAGACGCTGGTGGACACTTCCTTCTATTTGTCTGCAGGGAGGAGCTAACTACACTGAAACTACTCTGAAATTAACACACACTTGTTTACAGTTTCGGTTTGTTAGTTCAGCCTATTGACCACCCAAAGGACAAAACACTGAGCCACAAACAAAGTAATGTGGTCTACTCCATTCAGTGCAATGAACGCTACATTGGAGAAACTAAACATCTACTTCATAAGAGGATGAACCAACACAGACGAGAGAGCAGCAGTGGACCTCAGTCTGCTGTACATCTCCACTAATTTAAGGACAGTGAGGTACAGATTTTAGTCAGAGAAAATAATTGGTTTGAGAGGAGCATGTAAGAAGCTGTTTTTGTTAAGAAAGAGAATCCTTCTCTAAACAGAAATGGACTCAGACACCGTCTATCTCCTATTTACAACTCCATCCTCAAACCTAAATCTAAACAAACAAGAGAACAACAGGTGTATCCAGGTCAGGTCCAGAGGTGTGGAAGCTCCATTATGGCCATGAATTAGACTCCATACCCTGTACAGGTCAATAAACATAACTAACAAACAGAAACTGTAAACAAGTAAACAAGTGTGTGTGTTAGTTTCAGTGGAGTTAGCTCCTCCCTGCAGATATATGCAGTGTTGGTAAGGTTACTTTTAAAATGTATTCCCCTACAGATTACAGATTACATACCCCAAAATGTAGTTTGTAACGTAATCCATTAAATTACTTAAAATGAGTAATGTAATCTGAATACTTTGGATTTTTTGATATTGTCATGTTTTTTTAAAACTACATGAATGTAACAACCACATCCTGAAAATTCTTGTTTGTTCAGTCTTTACTTAACCATGTTATAAATATTATTGATAGAGAAATGATTTCTATCTGAGATCACAATTATGTCCATCCTCCTGTTAGTGTCATATTGTATTAGTTTAGTCATGGTTTTAGTCCCGGTTTTAGTCCTGGTTTAGTCCTGGTTCAGACCTGGTTTAGTTCTGGTTTAGTCCTGGTTTAGTCTTGTTTTAGTTCTGGTTTAGCCCAAAATGTGAAAACAGGAAAATACCGCTGTGTAATCCATTTATTTCAACAAAGTAACTGCAATCTAATTACCACTCACTGAAACAGTAACTGTAACTGAATACAGTTACTCATAATTTGTACTCTGATTATGTAACTCTGGTACATGTAATCTGTTACTCCCCAACACTGGATATAAGGAAGTGTCCACCAGCGTCTGACCAGAACTGAAGAAGCAGCTTGGATGAGCTACGAAACGTCTTCAACCAAACTAACTTTTGTCCAGTCGACGAACTGAATTTTCTCCTCGACATTGTGGTAAGATGATTAAAATTGGGTAAATTCAGTAAAAAATCCCAAGAAATCCCAAGTAAAAGTGTATTTGGACATCCATCTTGTACACGGATCAGTATCGGATGTTAATGTACTGTGTTAAATGTTAAACTAATAGTTCTAGTCCCCATTTAGTCACCCAGAAGTACCAGTGGGACACCAGATGTGCTGCTGCTGTACTCCCTGCATTTGTAAATGAGGAATGCTGAATATTGCTTTATAATCAGTGGATCCATTTTCATGTCATTTCAGCTGGACCTCATTTAAGTGAAGGAACTAAGGCTACGTTCAGACTGCAGGGCTTAATGCTCAATTCCGATTTTTTTGTGAAATCCGATGTTTTTTGCGAGGTCGTTCACATTTCTAGTTAAATGTGACTTGTATGTGACTCCAGTGTGAACATTAAATGACCCAAAAGTGTCCCACATGTGACACTGGAGACACGACGACGTCAACCGCAGCGAGCGTCTCTGTGTTTACAGAAGTTGTCCAAACATGGACGCAGCATCGAGCACCTGGAGATTTTAAAGTTCCTCTCGTACCGGAGCCACAACATGAACAACTTACTTGTTTTTAAGGAGGAGATTGAGAAGGAGAAGGATGAGGTTTTTGGTCGTGGTGTTTTGTGGGACAGTGTCTGTTGAAAGGAACGTGTGGATGTGGAGACGTAGACAAGAGTGGTGAGTGGTGATGTGCTTCACTTCAGTGACACGGAGTTCATTAACAATTTTCAGCTACTTCAGCGCAGAATAGTGACGTTTGTGTCTTGTTGATAACGTGTAGGTCGGATTCATGCACTTCAGACTGAAGTCGCATGTCAGAAGATCAGATATGTATCGGTTTCAGGAGCACATTTCGAAGTGTCCTGGGTCACATTTGAAAAAATCAGGATCTGTGTGTGGTTCAGACTGTCATTAGAAGATCAGATACAGGAACATAGGGGCCAAAAAATCGGATTTGGGTCACTTCAGTCTGCAGTGTGAACGCAGCCCATAACTCCTGCTGTTTGTTTCTAGGCTGGGGATTGGCAGGGCAAGTGGAACAGTGACAGAGAACACAGGCAGATGAGGGACTAGAGTCTTTAATAATGAAAAGGTGAATAATAGACAGATGTGATAACAGAACAGTGGCGCTGCAGTGAGCCGGTCTTCTCCCAGAGCCGTGGATTAGACACAGTGGTTTGGTGGGAGCATGCAGGAGATGGCCGTCTGTCTGTCTGTGCAAACACACT